AAACATCTTCTCTTTTTGCTCCGTCTTGGATTTGGATATTTAGATGTCTTTCTGTGGCCGTCCAATTTTTCGCTACAACACGTTGCTAGTCATCGCTGTTCACTCCAAGACAAAAGGGCATTAAGTAGCCACTCCATATTATTATCGTGGCATTGGCAATGATGATGATAAAATTTTCTTTGTTTGCACAATTTATAAATATTAACGTTGCCACGAATATTGGAATTTGTTTTTTTTTTATCATGAATGTCTTCTTAAAAGCTTGATTATTTGCTTTTTTATTTTATTTTTGGTAAATGTTTCAATATAATATTTTTATTTAACATATGCATATTATCGATAAATATATAGTATTGATACTATAACTATAATTATTTTAATATTTAAATATATTTTCGACTTTGAAATATGAAATATTTTTTTAAAAAATTATTTACTTTCTTCATTTTTAATCCTTATATTTGACCCAAAAAATGACATTTTAGTTGTTAATTATTAACGAGGATGTTTTTAAGGACTCAAATTAAATAATTTGTATACTTTTTAACAGATATAAACGAATAAAAATTAAAAATGAATTAATTATAAAAGTTCCTATTTTTTAGAGATTTAAACTATATTTAAGTTATTTTTTGTATAAAATTTAAATAATGATAACAGAATAAACTCGAACAAAAAATTCTTTAAATTTTTTATAAAATGTTTTCCTGTTATCACCTAATCTAACTAAAAGAATTTTAGTCAAAATTGAGCATGTGAACCAATTTAGTGTGCTACTAATTTTTTACACATCATCTCTTATGTTTTCTTTTTCTCAAATCCTGATTATATTGAGAAACGTGTTAAGGGTTAGAGAAAAAACAAAATATGAAAATAATTTTGTTAAAAGTTAAAGTATCGAATACAAACTTCATACATAACTTATATTAATTAGAAACATTAACTATATGTAACCCACTCCAAACTAATGCATATTACGTGTATAATCTAAATGATTCAACTAATTCAAATTAATTTTATTATAATGTCCTTTATCCATATTCTCAACATAGTATTCATTGTTTTCTAATATTCTAATATTGATATTTAGGTAGCATTTGGCTTGATTTTGTTTGAGCTTCTCTTCACAGTAAAAGAAGAAGTTAGATAGGTATAATTTTGGAGAAATTATATAAGAAAAAATAGCCTATGTTTTAACAAAGATAAATTAAAATAAAATAATTTTTACAAATTAATTAAAGTTACTTTTATCCCTTTACTTAACTGAAGTTATTTTTTTTGTTTTACATTTGTCTTTAATCTTTATATTTTAATAAATATTTTATTTTAGTCACTCCAAATAAATTATTTTTATTTTTTATTTTTATAAATTTTTTTAGTTCCTATCATAACATTATTCATTATAAGATTTTTATATGTTAATATTTTATGATGTTAGCAAAAGGAACTAAAAAAAATTACAATGTTAAGATCAAAACTAAAAAATCAGTTAAAGGGACTAAAAAATTATTAAAATGAAAGAACTTTTCCTATTTATAAATCAAAACCTAATTATATATATATAAGGGAAAGATCGTCTTATAGTAGTATAAGTCTAAAAATTCTTACACTCAATTTAAACCTTTCATTTAACTTACATCTAACAATTGGTGAAGTAATAAATTATAACTCATTGATATAACTTAAATGAAAGACTTAAATTGAGTGTAAGAGTTTTTAAACTTAGAAGATCTTGCTATATATATGAAAGCAAATATTTAAGAATAATGAGTCTAAGATAATTTTATCTAAACTCACAATTTTGATTTAGTAACAATTAAAATTGATTGGTCTTTACATCAAATTAGTTTTTACTATTTCTATTAGAGAATTTTCAAACCTATTTTATCTAATATCTCTAAGAGATAATAAGATTGTGGTATCTATACTCATATCTATTAATGGTTTAATTGTTACTTATACACATTTTATATACAAATATTTATATTTTTCAATATAATCATTTATTGAGTGTTTTAATAATATATCAATTTTTTTTCTATATCTTAACCTAGAGAAATATTATTTTCTACGATTTTGATTATGTAATCATAATTTCTTTTTTGTTTAATTTATTTTTCAAGAACATATAATATTTGGCTGTTCATTCTTTAGTTTATTTCTTCAAATTGTACCTCTTTATTAGAAATATTGTGCTTCAAAGTTATTTATTGAGAATCTTGTTCTTTTGATTTTGTTTTGTATTGGAAGATGATGAGGTAGAGTTAGATCTAATAGATCTAAAAGAGATTGTAGAAAAAAACGAAAGAGACAAGACATATTTATATTAACTTTGGTTCATCATCGTCACTTAGTTTCATAATAATATCTTGATAAGATTATTTTCAACTTATTTAGTAGATCTAGTTATTGTAGACTCTTTTTTTGTTTTTTATATATAAAAAATCTTTACTTTACCCACCAACCCTTATATTCTATTTTTATTTTTTAACAAAATATTGTCAAATTATACTCACTGCCTATCATTATCAAGACTTACTACTATAACTTTATTTATAAAAAATAAAGAACTATTGTGCTTCTAATTAAGATTTTTGCTTATTTTTAAATTTATTAAAATAAAATTACTATACATCTTTCCATATCTATGAAACTAGTTATCAGTTAATCCACACACACACACATATATATATATATATATTTATTTTTCATACATCAAAATCTATAATTTATTAATATAATTTTTTAAATGAGAGTATTTTTAGGAGTTAATTCCATTTCTTATCATGTTAAGTTATTCTTTACATTAAATATTTATCTTTTAATTTAATAAAATTTAAATTTTAATTTTTCATAATTTATTTTTTAATTTAAAATTTAACTTTTTATTTAATATAACAGAATATTTTTAATTAATAATTATAATATTTTGAATAAACCCACAACTATTTTAAGTTTAGGATCTCCTTTCACCTTTATTTCTTTTATATTGTGAATAAACCCACAATGGAATCTTGTCTATCTCTTAAGTATGTACTTCTCATGGACAGCTTTTATATCATTGACTTTAAACACTTTCAATGCATGAAAGCAAAGTATGCCAAATATTTTAAATTTTTTTACAAGAGCAATATATAGTAGTTAAGGAATAATCAAATGTATTGTTCATGATCTTTATTGATTAACTTTAATAATGACATATTCAATCAAACAAGAAGTTTTAATCCTTTGTGATATGCAACAAGCTAAAAATAAAGCAAACTCTGGTTAGAATAAGTTAAACACTATATGTATATAAACCTTGACCATTTGTATTAGTATTGAAGACATTTCATATCGCAACATAAGATCATAAGATCACTTCAACTTGTTGTAACATTTGTCTTCAATAACCTGTTTAAAGTGTTCAAAGAATTGCTTGATTTCAAAATCAAGTTTCATATATGTCTTAAAATCAGAATTTAAGCTCATTTAGTTGATTATTTTGCATTCCAAGAGTGAATACATCCTTGAAATAACATGATGCTTATTTCTCTTTTATGGAATAAAGTAAAATAATTCAAATATTTTCTTTAACATTATATTATGTAATCAACTTTCTCCAAATCTTCTCAAAGTCAATTACAATATGAAACTCATACATACATTATTTCAAATCTCTTAAAAAATTGTTCATTCCTTTTGTTAAATTACTAAGATGCTTAATTCTATTTTACATTAAACATCATGCGCACAAAGTATAATGTATCTCATACATTACTTAAACAAGTGTTTTTGCTATTACTTTATCTTAATTTATAACAAAATTAATTTTTTTTATTATATACTTTCAAAAATATCTTAAACAATTATTAAAATAATTCTACCATTTTATTATATAATAAGGCTGTATGCAGATAAGGTGTCAAATAAACATGTACCTTTATGTTAAGGTAATTGTTTTAAGGTTAAAATTATGTGTTTGAAGACATTTTTAGACACAAAGTTGTTTGATATGAAATTGCTTGAACTGCACGATTATGTTTGTACCAAAATTCTGTATTTTAATTTTTATCCTAAAATTATTCTAATATTTTAAGATTCTAATTAACTATCCGAGTCCCTTGATGTGAAGAAGTTACATTAAAATATAATTAGTCGAGGAATATAAATTCGTTTTAAAAGTACAAAACTCTTTCAGCTTTTTATTTTGTTTTTTTCTATTCACAGGACACTCTTTGTAGCCTTATTAATCGGTCCAGTATAAATATTAAAATATGGAACTGATAGAAGTTTAAATCAAAAATTGTTCAATAACAATAACTTTATGGTAACATCAACTAAACCTTATCTACGAAGAATGTTAATAACCGATAACTTTAATGAGAAAAAAATTTAAATTATGAAATATATTTTAAAGATTAAAGTAAAATTCCATACATTATTAGGTAATGAGAAATTACAAACAGTGAGCAATAAATATTATTAAGTTGCGAATTTCATGGATGTATGGCGGCATGGTCCTCATTCGTAGGACGAAACGAATAATACATATTCTTCTTAAAAAATTAGTGATACGGACTGCAAATATTTATCCTCAGATAAGCCTGAGAAATGAAAGAAAGTAGGTATTGTGTATTGTCAGAAAAATGTTAATAATACATTAGTTAACATATATATGTTAATAGACTCTTATTTTAATTAAATCATTTTATTTCTAATTTAATATTTTTTAATAAAATCTAAGTAACTTGTAAAGATAAGTGAAAACTAGAAAGCACTCTGCAACAGAACACAGTAAAAAAATAAAGATAAAATAAAATTACGAACGGATTGATGACCATCCGAAAGGCACCAATTTCTCAACCCCGTCAAGACAGTTTTTACGTGCATCCTATCACTCGATGCCACGTGTACACACGTGCTAAGTCCTCCCTCTCTCCCTTGCTCCATTGGGCTTAGGCTAGAAGCCGTCGTTTTCCAGCGATTTAATCGGCGTGCCCTTTTTCCTCGAAACCTCGCACTTTTCACTCCCACTTCATCCTCAAAACCTAAAATGAAACACAAATGCACTCCACATAAATCCCAAACACAAATCCAACCCACTCACTAACCTTATCTCTCTCTCTCACACACACACACCTTCTCTTAGCTTCTACTATACCGTTACCATCACTCCCACTCCTTCGCCGCAAAAACCCGACGAACACTTCACTTTCAACCAATTCGACCCAACGGTGCATGGAATGACGGAATACCGGTCGCCGCCGACGATGAATTTGTGGACCGACGACAACTCCTCCGTGATGGAGGCTTTCATGAGCTCCTCCGACCTCTCCTCGCTGTGGCTCCCTACGCCGCAATCCGCCGCATCAACCACAACTCCGGGACCCGACGCGAGTAGAGCTCCGCCTCCACCGCCGACGCCGACGCAGTCGCAGCCTCTGTTCAACCAGGAGACTCTTCAACAGCGGTTGCACGCGCTAATTGAAGGTGCGAGAGAGAGCTGGACATACGCCATCTTCTGGCAATCCTCTTATGACTACTCTGGCGCTTCTCTCCTTGGTTGGGGCGATGGCTATTACAAAGGCGAGGAGGACAAAGGAAAAGGCAAAGCTACCAAAACGACGTCGTCTGCGGAACAGGACCACCGCAAAAAGGTTCTCCGTGAACTCAATTCCTTAATTTCTGGTCCTTCTGCCTCTGGCGACGATGCGGTGGACGAAGAAGTCACCGACACTGAATGGTTCTTTCTGGTGTCAATGACTCAGTCCTTCGTCAACGGTAGTGGGTTACCGGGCCAGGCTTTCTTCAATTCCAGCCCGGTTTGGGTCACTGGAGCGGACCGGTTGTCCGGTTCGGCCTGCGAGCGGGCCCGCCAGGGTCAGGTGTTTGGGCTGCAGACTCTGGTTTGCATACCCTCTGCAAACGGCGTCGTTGAGTTGGCTTCCACTGAAGTTATTTTCCAGAACGCTGATCTGATGAACAAGGTGCGCGTTTTGTTCAACTTCAACAACCTGGATGCCGGTTCGTGGCCATTGAATTCCGTTACAACGGATCAGGGGGAGAACGACCCGTCCTCTCTCTGGCTCAGCGATCCCTCTGGGATTGAAATAAGAGATTCTGCTGCTAACACCGTTGCGCCAGATTCGGCCAATACTGGGACAGTTAGCAAGACGTTGCAGTTTGAAACCCCTGGTTCCAGTACTCTAACCGAGGCCCCAAGTGCTGTTCATGTTCCCAACTCTCACCAGCAGCGCCAGCAGTCGCAGAGCCAGGGCTTATTCCCGAGGGAATTGAACTTCTCCAGCTCTTTGAAGCCAGAATCCGGCGAGATTCTTAGCTTCGGGGAGAGCAAGAAGAACTCTTACAATGGGAATTTCTTTCCCAGCGTTGTTGCTGAGGAGAACAAGAAGAGAAGGTCCCCTGTTTCTAGGAGCAGCATTGATGACGGAATGCTCTCCTTCACTTCCGGTGTGATCTTACCGTCTTCGAATTTGAAGTCCGGTGGTGGTGGTGGTGGTGATTCCGATCATTCCGATCTTGAAGCATCTGTGGTTAAAGAGGCTGACAGCAGCAGAGTGGTGGAGCCGGAGAAACGGCCTCGGAAAAGGGGGCGAAAGCCGGCAAATGGTAGAGAGGAACCTTTGAATCACGTGGAAGCGGAGAGGCAGAGGAGAGAAAAGCTGAATCAGAGGTTCTATGCACTTCGTGCTGTTGTTCCTAATGTGTCGAAGATGGACAAGGCATCGCTTCTTGGCGATGCCATATCTTACATAAACGAGCTGAAGTCAAAGCTTCATGGACTGGAATCGGAGAAAGGTGAATTGGAGAAGCAATTGGATTCAACGAAAAAGGAACTTGAGCTGGCAAGTAAACACCCTCCCCCTCCACCACCATCTGATATAGAAGCAAAGAAGATGACAACCAAGCTGGTTGATTTGGATATAGACGTGAAAATCATAGGTTGGGATGCTATGATTAGGATCCAATGCAGCAAGAAGAACCACCCTGCTGCCAGGTTGATGGCAGCTTTGAAGGACTTGGACCTGGAAGTACATCATGCCAGTGTGTCCGTGGTGAATGATTTGATGATCCAACAAGCCACGGTGAACATGGGAAATCGGTTTTACACGCAGGAGCAGCTCCTGTTAGCGCTGTCATCCAAAGTTGGCGATGCACGGTAACTCTACACCATTTGGATAAGATGGTGTAGAGCTCTGGGACATTTTATGGCTTCCCGGTAGCTGTAACTGTCTGTAAAATAGTGTTCTTTTCTAATTTTTAGCTAGTCCTTTTTGATAGCTTAGTTTAAAATTAAATTTTGAGGTAATTTGATTTGGGAAGCTGGATGGACTAAAACTAGGGACAGTTTTTCTTCAAATCTGCGGAGAAAGATAGTTAGCAGCTATGATGAAGTCACAATGGACTTTTTGTGTTAATATTATCCGTCTAGATCACTAGATTGTATATATGTTCATCAATTATCATAAATGTGAACTCAACTTTTATAATTTTCTATATTGCTATAAAGCTTATCCGTGATTACCTGCCATTTCTAAGTTCTGTGAGATCATGTTATTCGTTTTTAACTTGTTTTAGTATGCTCCTTCCTGTGATGGTATATTTTGTATATCATCTGTAAAATGGAACATTGTCTAAATCTGGTGACCGAGTGCTCTGTGTTTTGGTTGTCTGATCTATCATGCGAAGAGTGTGATTTTTGTGTGATGGAAACGAAGTAAAACAAAAGGACAAAAAAACGTGTTGGGGAACAGTGGGGCATTTGATATCGTGTCCTTGCTTAGAACCAGAATCGACGTACATGGTCGAGTGGGAGGTTCATTTTCAGACATGTGAAAAATGCATGCCCCTATAAAATTCTTCTCGGTCTCTCCACACCTTTCTGTTGGTGGTTAATTCTCTTTCGAGTTTTTATGTCTTTTCTCCGTCTCCAACCAAGCTTTTGTATATACTTTTTTTTGGGGTGAACAGATTTTTGACTTGATAATTTTATTTTTCCCACCAGCCAAAGCCAGTTTCCTGTTCGGGTATTCTAATACGTAATAAAGTTTTGATAGTACCTATCTACTTTTAACACTGAAATATCCTCCGACAAGCATGGTAGGATTAAGGGAAAAAGGAGGTATTTAATTCTCCTTTACCCCAAAGTTGGGTGCGTACTAGGCTCTTGGCGTGTATGTGTTTGTGGAATCGGAATCACTCCTAATGCACCAACATGAATGATGATGGTAAGACGTCTCACCATTAGAAAATTAGAAAATGACTCAAAAGTAAGGTTATTTCTCTTTAAGCTATGTTGGAAACAAACACGGAATCGGAAGTTGGCTTTGAAAGTTGAAGTTTGCCTTTACCAACAACTTTTGCTATGTTGATGTTATAAATGGAGTTCATCAATTGCATGACTTTGCTACTTCAATATCTACAAAATAATAGGCCTCATTTGCATTCTGGGAAGTTGGAATACGGAGTATATGGATCAACTTCTAATTATATCAAAACATTTGACAATTCATCAGTCAACTAAGGCAGCTTTTATTGGTTCTTCCTTTTCAGATTTTTATTATTTTCTGCTAGTATCATCTACCAAATTACTGAACCGTCCAATTTAATAATAATAATAATTATTTATACCAGGAAAAAAACAAAGACAACACTGTCACAATTTATGGTGTTCATTAACGATTTTAAAGTTTTCCATGTGAATCATGTGGGCAACCTTAACTGCTTTCAGAATCTATTGCACGGATTCGCTCCCGTAAGTGTTCCGCCTCTTTCGGGTATTTTTCTGCTCTCTGCGGCTGGTGAATAGTGAACTTGCACTTATTTTTTTAATTTAAATCAACAGTGTTTCCTTCTTCTCGTGAATTTGTAGCATTCAGAAAAGGGCAAGTGTCTACCCTTCTTTTATTTTCCTTTTCCTCTTAAACGCACACACATCTTAATGTCTTGGCAAAGGCAATACTGCCTGCACTACAGATCGAATTACTAGGATAAATTGAAATAATCTGCTCCTTACCCTCAGAAAATGTTGAATTTGAGGTTCGTGACCCTCGATGAATATATAGGGATTTCATTCGTATGGAAAATTATTACATCAATTGGTATTATTCTATAGAATAGAAACCAGAATAAATAAGGAAAGAAAGGAAAAGAAAAGTGTCATTTTATTTAAAATTAATTAAAAATATATTTTAAATCTAAAAAAATACGTTTAAATAAAATTTTATTATTTATTAAATTATAATAAAAAATAATATCATATATAATCATATTAAATTTTTTTATAAAATACTTCCTTATACTGTTAATTTAGCTTTCCCAATTGTTTAAAGTTTTTCATTAAATTTAATACATGTTAATCATGTTTTGCTAATTAAATTAAACTTTTTTGTAAGTTTGTTAACAATTAAATTTAATACGGTGTATTAATTAAATTTAATTAATTTTTTAATAAGCTTTTGTAAGTGTATGTATTTATAGTTACAGATATTACTATCTTAATTATTTTTTTCTTCAACTATATTTAGTTGTTAATACACACTTTTTCCGTTTTTAACATTTTATTGCCATAAAAAAATAGTTTTTATATATAATCAATTCTAATCGACTTTTTAAAATTATAATATATAGTTAATATATATATATATATATATATATATATATATTATGTTTGTATATATTCATTTTTAAGATTACATGACCATCAAATAGTGTACCAAAATTAAATCCAATCAATTTAGTAAACCTTTTAGTTATTTTTACGAATTTTAATAATTATAGATGAATCATAATTCAAGTTTACACATAAAAAATTGTTTCAATATTCATGTAGAACATTAAATAATAATTTTAGTGAATTATATATATATATATATATATTATTTGTTTTTTAAAAAAATTTATTAAAAATAAATTGTAAATGTACATTTAAAATATAATAATGAATAAATATTTAAATAAATCAATAAATAAAAGTGAAAATAAAAAATTTATCATTTAATTAATAAATTTATATGTAATATATAATTATGTATTTTAATTTATCATGTATTTAATTTTCTATGATATTAATGCTATAATGTAGTTAATTTTACGTATATTCTTTTTTTTCCTATTATAGGGGGCCTAAACTACAATGAGGTTCTAAAAAATTTGATGCCAATAGCATCATGATGAAGGAAAGGAAGCAAAAGGGATGGAGCCACCTTAAAGTGATGCATATACAAGGATTCAACAAAGCTAAATTTAGCTAACCTATCAGTATATTAGTTAGCTTCTCTACACACATATATAATCTTGATTAACTTAATACAACTTAGCATTTTTCTAATCTCCTTGAGCATATAAAAAAAAATAGTAATGAGATTGGTCATTCAAAATCAACCTAATAACCTCCTTGTAGTCACTCTCAATTCAGAGAGATTGATATTCCTTATCTATCACATGGTAGGCTCCATGGTAAATGCTCCAAAGCTCAGCTTCAAGGGGACTACAGAGGTGAATTATGCTATAGAATCCAGTAAGAAAGTGGCCTATATGATCACGAACTAGGCCACCACAAGCAGCTGCACCATGATAGTTGGACTTCGCACCATCTACACATTTTAACATAATTAGGAGGAGGTTGGCCACATCTGATTCCAGGCTTTTCATCCACCAAAATAGGAAGTTGGCTAGGATTCATCCTGCTAACAAAGCCTGTCATAAGCTTTTTCAAGATCTAATTTAAGAATCATATAACCATTCTTGCCTTTTAACTTATATAAGGAGTGAATAATTTCCTAAAGGATGATAGCATTGTCGATCCCCTGTCGACCAGGTATAAAACTAGTCTAGTTGGGGGAAATTAAATGGTCTAGATGCCCATGAATTCTGTTAGCAATAAGCTTAGTAATAATTTTATAACTAATATTACATAAAGAGATTGGTCTGAAATCTTTAATATGTTAAGGGTTATCAGATTTGGTGATGACAGTGATCCTAGTCTCATTAGTTACAGCTATTTTATAGCAATTTTAAAAAATTTATGAGACAAAATTAAAGATAAAGGGAGCTAAAAAATTCCATTGATTTTTTTTAAAAAAAGGGCGTGCAAACTATTGGGGTCAAGAGATTTGAAATTACCTATACTGAATAAGGATGCTTTCACTTCATCTATAGATATATTGGAAGACAATCTTTCTTTGTTAGAAGAATTAAGAGGAGGAAAGGAAATAATACATGACAGATCATAATAGATAGATCTAAAATAGCCAAGAGCAATATTCTTGATTTTATCAAGTTCATATTCCCAATTTCCTTGATCATCTCTTAAGACTTCAATCAGATTTTTATGTCTATGATGCATAGTTGACCTATGAAAAAATTTAGTGTTTCTATCCTCTAGATAGATGCATTGAGTTCTATAATGATGTAACCAAAAGATTCTTCTTAGTCCAGAATGTGTTGATAATCTTTCCATAGGGGTACTCATAAGGTTTGTATGGAATGGATTATGTTCATTGGTCAATTTGTTGTAAATCCCCTCAATTCTTTTGAGAATTCTTTTTTTCCTAACAAAAATATTACAAAAAATATCTCTATTCTAGTCTGAGACGTTATTCCTAAACCTATCAATATTTTCATTCCATGAGTAAGACTAGATCCAGGAGTTCTTTACTTGGTTACTGAAGTTAGGATGACTGATCTAAGGGGCTAGGAGTTTAAAGTTCTTTTTTTTCCTTTGGGAATTATATCCTTACTACTAATTCTCATCCAAATGCCAATATGATTAGATTTTAGGACAGGGACATGTATAAAAGAGTTGTGCTAGAAGGACAGGTGCCATGCCCTATTAGAAACAACTCTATCAATTCTTTCTTTCAAGGTTCCTGTAACACCCATATTTTTGTTATTTATTAATTTTGTATTTTGTGTGAATTGTTAATGCTAGTTACTTAAAATTATGAGAGTTTTAGGTATGTGAGTTGTAGAATTTCTTGCTGTAGCAAAATGTGTCTCGCCGCAGCGAGAAATGAGCATCTAAAATCATGCTCTCTGACACTCTCTTGTTGTAGTGAGGAGATCTTACTGTAACGAGGAACTCTCGTTGTAGCTAGAATGACAAACAACAAAGGAAAAAGTGTCTAGTTTTTTGGTTGTAGTGAGAATCTCTCACTATAGCGAGAATGTTGCGAGTTGAGGGGTATTTAAGGGTTTTCAAGTTGAGAAACTTGGATTATAATCCAAGTTACGAACCTTCTCCATTCCCTCTGACTTCTCTCCTCATTTTCTCAAAAAATCCTTGAAAAGCTTCAACCTTTCTTTGATCCAAGCTTGGGAGTTCACTCTTCTTACTATTTGATAAGATCTTAAAGCTTGGTTCTCCATTTCTTTGGTTATTTTCTTGTTTTTCCTTCACTAGATAGGATCTCTTATGATATTAAGAAGAACCCAGCCTTTTGAGCAAGATCCCTCAACATAAGGAGAGCTCTATCTTGTTACTAAGAAAC